TGGGATGGCAATCCGAAAGGAACTATACTTAGAAACTACATTATTAATTGTGACTGCTAACATTCTATTTGTTCGATAAAAATGTGATTTTATTTATATTATTTTTCAGATGCAATTTATGGATCAAATAGCTGGCACATGCACCAATTAAAAAGATTCACATGTTAAAAGATATTTGTGGCAAGCATTGCAAATCCGAGGACCCAACTAAACCCAACTAAAACGAACTGTTATTCCATCAGTGGACTTAATTAAAACTTTATGTGTATGTTAATTAGGTTTCATTTACCTGTAGCAAAAGATAATATCCCTCTAAAGTCACATTTTAGTAAGAATTTGATTATATAACTAAACTCAAAGTTATTTGTAATTACCTGGTTATAATTTTTTTTATAGATTCATCTACAAAAATTAGCTATATTGAGCACTCATTTTAAAAGAGACTATTAGTAAATGATCTCTGCGAGTAGTGTGTACCTCTGTGACGAAGCTTAGCGATTTGTACATAGTATTTGTTACACTCAAAAGCAAAGTGTTAAAAAAACAATGTTTTTATTTAAAAAAAGCTAACGTTAAAAACAAACATCCCTGTTCATTGCCGGAATGAACCGTCGGTCCGGTAGTGCTGTAATCAAACGCTTAGCCACTGCGCTATGGAGTTGTCATTTAATTACTAGTATAGTTTAGACATTGTTTATTTTATATTTTTTATATATATTTTCGTACCTAATAATTGTACAGATATAATTACAAATTGTTGTGCGTAAAATACATTGATGCCTTATTTTCATCGGCATTTTTACTCAATCCCCTTACAATCCCCAAAAACTTTATTTCTCATATAGAGATCTAACTTTTATTAAATTATTACTTTTATTTAATGATTGTGTTTCAGGGAAAGATGCAGGGTATAACACATTTTAAGTCAATATGAAGCTATGTAATATAAAGACTTAATTGCTGTAGAGATCTGTTTAGATTTTTTAATGAATATCTCCGCTCCGCTACATTCACAGCCGGATTTCCTACTGTGTCAAAATTGTACCGACGGTAGGCTGTTTGAAGATAAAAGGGGATTAAATATACATAATAAACGATGCCATAGTAAAAGTATTTCGCTTCACAGCCTACCGTAGAAATTAATAACTCCATTAGTAATTCCTCTAATGACACTTTCCCTTTTTCGAAGCAAATTTACAATTATCATTGTTATGTACCAGTGGTTGAAAGAATATGCGAGGATGCAGCTTGCTAAAGCATTGTCACGCACTATTCAAAATTGTTTCACTAATAGTGAAAAGAGTTTACTTTTGCGTATTCCCATTTTCATTTTAATAAAACAATAAACAAATCAATTACGTCTTAACTAAAACAGACATTTTTCAAAATGTAGATTACCCAATTAATACTCATTTATCTCGATCTTGTCCAAAATTTAATTTAAAAAATAGTTCAGTAGAAAATAATGGATGGCGACTTAAAAAATCAACCCGTATTTTATTCTTAGACGTCATACTGGCTCCTCGTAATGTCGAAACTCTTGAAAGTCTTCGTCAGAAGCATCCTTCCTTGCAACCTTTACAAATTTCTGATAAAGACACTTTGGAAGCAGTTATGCCATTTTCGAATGGCTCTGCTGGCGGCATTGATGGAATTACGCCTCCACATCTTAAAGATCTTGTAAGCGCTTCTACCGGTGACGCCGGTAAAGTACTTCTTAACGAAATTACAAAATTATGTAACTTTATGCTTTCTGGTAATATTAATCCAAATATCATTCCATTCTTATATGGGGCAAGATTATGTTCCTTCACAAAAAAGGATAACAGTATCCGTCTTATTACCGTTGGTTCCACATTTCGACGCTAAGCTTCAAAATGAGCTTGCATGCACATATTTTCTAACCTTAAGACAAAATTGTAAGCCTACTCAACTAGGCTTTGGCACTAGAGGTGGCTGTGAGGCGGTGGTACATATACATACAGTGCGTACATTTTTAACAAACTCTGATGCAGATTTTCTTGTGAAGCTTAACCTAAGGAACGCTTTTATTTCTATCGATAGGGTAACCCTGCTTAAAGAAGTGGCTAACAATAGCCCCGAAATTTATCATTACGTTTGGCAATGTTACACTCAAAATACAGCAGAGTGACACGCTAGGTCCAGCACTTTTCAGTTTGCGAATTGAGCCCATTATTTCAAATTTGAAATCCAAACTGATTGTCTAGTAGGTACATGGACGACGGTACACTGGGAGATAGAGCAGACTCATATTTTTCGAAATTTTAAAATATTGGTCTTGAACCAAATAGCAATAAATGTGAAATATTTTTTCCAATAATTTATTTAGTTTTAACAGAGACACTGTAATTCAAAATTTCATTCATATATCTCCAGGAATAAAACCTGTTAGTACGTAATCGCTATACCTGTTAAGTGCCCCGTTCTTTTACGATAGTATTAAACCTGTTTTAAAAACAAAATTTGATTAGTTTTTAAACCATGTTGATAAATTGTATAACTCAAACCCCCATTGCTCTTATTATTTTAAAATATTGTCTCCTTGTACCTAGATTTACATACTCCACTCGAGTCAAGCCTGGAAAGGTTCGGATATTTTAAAAGATATTGATAATAATCTTAAAATAGTTATAGATATTATTTAACTTTAAATACAACAGCCTGGACTTAAACTAATTTACCTATAAAATTTGGTGGTATTGGTGTGAGAAATCTTTCTAGCGTTGCATTGCATGCTTTTCTTGCTTCCGTGCAGTGTCAGTGACTTAAGTAACATAATTTTAAATGATAAAGTAAACCTGTGTTTTGCTTCGGAGGCAGGGCATACAAGGCGAACGCTCTGTCTCGGCGAAAATGTTCCACTGGAAATTAACAAACATAAACAGTTGGATATTCCGTTAGTATAGAGCGTGCAGAAAGGTTTGTTTCATAATTTCCATAGTGATCAAGATCAGGCACGCCTTCTAGCTGTTTCGACTAAAGAATCTAGTTACTGGTTACACGCTTTACCATCAAGTAATCTCGGCACATTACTTGATGGGGAAAACTTGCACATCGCCGTAGGAATCCCACTAGGAGTGCCGTTATATCAACCCCACTGGTGTCCCTATGGTAGCAGCGTCAACAAGTTTGGGCTCCACGGACTTTCATGTAAGAAAAGTATTGGTAGGTTTTGACGGCACGGTTCTTTGAACAATGTCATCCGAAGGACTCTTGTTTCTATAAATGTTCCCTCGGTTTTAGAGCCTTGTGGAATATTTAGAGACGATGGCAAGAGACTCGACGGTATGACATTGGTTCCTTGAGAGAGAAGTAAAGCCATAGTGTGGGACGCTACTTCCGATAGACACTTTGGCGGCCTCTCATCTCAGGGGTACCTTGTTTAGAGCCGGGGCGGCATTAAAGGCAGCTGAACTGAGTAAGTAGTTCAAATACGAGTCTCTGAGAGATGACTATATATTTGTGCCATTTGCTGTAGAGACAATCGGTCTGTGGGGTCCCCGTGCGGTGAAGTCCCTAAAGGATCTCTATCCGCGACTGGTCGTTGCTGCTGGTGATAAGAGGGCTGGTTCTTTATGAATTATGGTTTTTATTATTGTATATAATAAAATATTGTATATTATGTTATGTAAAAAATAACTTTTACTATATAAAATATCGTTTAACAACATATCGATATAAGAGATTTCCATCAAATATAAGAAATTGTGTAAACATATCGATAAACATTCTATCGGTAAAATTATTCTAGGATAGACATTTACAGCACTATTATATTTCGCCTATGTTGTCAGCACTCAGCACTGTGGTCTGGAGTCGATATCTTTAGCCTCTCCAGACTCTGGCGAGACTTCTCGCGAGAAGGCTCACCGAGATTTCTCGCCAAAAAACAAGTGTTTTTTCACACTCACAATGTTTCTCACTTACTGTTCTCCTCGCTACCAGTATGGACGAGTTTGATAGCGCAGTGGCTTTAGTTTTGTGTGCATTTGCATACTATAATCTTGTTAATATTAAAATCAGAAAACAAATTAGAAAAAAAGAAAGTGCAGGCGATGGTGGATGACGGAAATTTTGTTCTCGAGATATGCGAGACGTAAAACTGACTAAAGGTCGCTGCATACAGGACGGAATCAGCACGTGCACGGGACGGAGACGGAACGTGGTTGTATGTCAACACGGACGGGAGTTTAATGCATACGCACCGTGACAGTGACTCGAAACTAACGTGCTAGTGTTGTGAAAGATGAATTTTTCATTTCAAGAATTGGCATTAATTGCTATTGCTTTAGATGATGAAGAAGCTACAACCGTCAAGAGTAAAAGGAGATTTTCTGTACATCCTACGTGGCAGAAAAGAGAACAAGAAGGTGAATACCACACTCTCTACAAAGAACTTTTGGATGACGAGACTCAATTTTATATGTATTTTCGTATGACAAAAGAATGTTTTGCTTTACTGGAAAACAAGCTAAGCCCTCACTTACATAAGAAGGACACTTTTATGAAAAGAGCCATCACACCCCGTGAACGATTGGCTGTATGTTTACGGTAAATAATAAACACTTTATTTTTACATATTTATTTTAAAATTTTGGTATATTAATTCTTTGTACTATCATACTCTCTGAGCTTATACTGCGAGAAGTAAGATTGTATTGACTCTGTTGTCTTTGGTTGTTCAGAAGACTGCGGAGGAGATGACAAAATAACTGGCATTGATGAAGATGAAGGCGAAGGAGATGACATTATAATAGGTGTAGATGGAGACGATGAAATTAAATTTTCAGTCAATTGTTGAAGCTCCAAATCGTGAATTACTTTAAAAATTTGTCCTTTGGCTAAATGTTGATAATAAGGAGAAAATGATTTCAATGTTGGTGCTAGTCCCTTCAAAAATGCGTCCATAGGATGTTCCTCTTCTTCTCTTTCTTTAATTTTGTTTTTATTATTCATAAGAACATATTTCATTAAAATACTTGAAGCATATTCACTATCGGGGCCAGACATCTTTTTTTTCAAACGCTTAGTCGTCTGAGTCGCTGATAATGGAGAGTCTAGTGGAGACTCAGCTTGTTCATTTGTAGCCGAAGATGTTGCTGGTGACATTGCTGATGACGTAGGCAATGGACTAACTACAACATCATCGTGGTCCTGCAAATTTAACTGCTGATTTATGTCAATTAAATCGTTGCTCATAGATTGTATCTCAGATGATGGAGAAGGTATCGTTTCACTGAATTGTACAAAATTGCTTATAGAATCTCTATCTTCGTCAACACCCTTGAGAAATTGAAGTTGTTCAGAAAACTTATACAGTTTGATTTTCTTTGCAGCTTGGCCAGTAACAGTTTTTTGACTTTTTATATTTTTTTTTTGTACTGGTCTCTTATATTTGTCCATCTTTGTTTGCAGGAGACCCAATCTAAAAAATTAAAAAATATATTTATTAACAATAAAGTTTAAGTTATATTTTGCTTTTTTTAGATTTTTGGCCACTGGTGACTCACATATGACAATATCATTTAGCTACCGTTTAGGTCATAGCACAGTTAATAAAATTGTCAAAGAGACATGCAAAATTATTGTTGACCAATTAATGAGTGAGGTATTACCCGAGATGACTACGGAAATGTGGAAAGCGGTTGCTGAAGACTTCTGGCTACTGTGGAATTTCCCAAACTGCTTAGGAGCACTAGACGGTAAACATGTAGTGATTGAAGCGCCACCGAACAGCGGATCTTTATTTTTTAATTATAAGTCAACATTTTCTATTGTTTTGTTGGCTCTAGTAGATGCAAAATGCAATTTTATTTACATAAATGTAGGTGCGCAGGGAAAAAATCATGACGCAGGAATTTTTATGACTTCTTCGCTAAGGCAACGTTTAGAGAATGGTACTCTAAATATACCTCAAAACAGAGCTTTACCCGGTACAAACATTGTTGCCCCTTATGTCATCATAGGTGACTCTGCTTTTCCACTAAAAACATACTTGTTACGTCCGTATCCATATAACAGTGGAAACCGCGAATTTGAAGTCTTCAACTATCGCTTAGGTCTCGCTCGTCGCTGCGTAGAAAATGCTTTTGGTATTCTTACTCAGAAATTTAGAATTTACCAAGGAAGAATAAAAATGAATCCAGCATCGGTAGATAATATAATACTAACAACATGTGTATTACACAACTTTATAAGAAAAAATAGTGAAAATGAGGTTAATTCATTTAACTTAGAAAGTTTAGAGGATTCGAGCCTTAACAATTTACGTTCTCAAGGCGGCAGTGCATCTAGTCAAGCATTTCGTGAACGAGAAAAATTCAAAGTTTTTTTCAATTCTCCTGTCGGCATTTCTAGCATGAGTGAATACTAACACCCTTACCCATAAACACACTACCTTCACATTTTAACCCATTGAGTTATATGTACTACGTACTAGAGAAGCCATTCCAAGCAAAAATTGTGTCCTACTCTATGTCTTCGCGCATGCGCGGGAGTAGTAGTCGCGCATGGGCGAAGACTTTAATTTGATATAAAATAAGATATTTATATAAAATAAATATAAGAATTTAATATAAAATATCTTAATTTAATCTAAACAAACATATTATATTTAAAAATAAAATGTAATAATAATTATTTTATGGAATTCACAAATCTTCAATTTACGCAATATTTAGTTTGTATGGATTGCACTACAGTTCAGTTGAACATAGTCTATGTTCGGAATGGCTTCTCTAGTACATAGTACATATAACTCAAACTTAAATACTCTGTCAATAAATTGGTTATGTACCTACTTGATTTCTGTTGTATTTAATTCTACTGATGTAATAAATATCGACATTGTAAAACATGAGTCAACTTTATTTACGTACCTGTCTTTTGATTTGCGCATAAAAAATTTCAACTGTTATTGTTACATATTAAGATATATTGTAAACCCATGAAAACAATAAATAAAAAATAAAATTTATATATACTAAGCATTTGCAGTAAGTGATAATTCGACTGCAATTTTCCGCCACAGAAAATTTTTATATTTTGTGTCCAAATATTTCGGGTGTGCAAAATTATACAAGCATGGATATGATCGTACACATTCAATTAATTTTTCGTCGTCCATTTTGTTCGGTACGGCACGCGCATCACTGCGTAGCCAACGGGGAGACTGTGCATACGCAGCGGAACCACGGACGAGACGTGGCGCGCACGGGGCGGGACGGGGCAAACATCGTCGCCGACGATATTTTTCTCGTCCCGTTCATGCCACGTCCCCGTCACGTCCGTGCACCCGTAACGTATGCATTATAACGTATATTTTCTATGAAACGATATTTCCAAAATTTCACGTCCCGCTCCGTCCGGAATAAAACACGTTACGTATGCAGCGACCTTAACTGAGGAATGTACCCGCACACAGAGATCTTTTTAAAAACAGTAGAATTGTTTTTGAGGGAACAATGTCATGTCTTCATGTTGGTAGAGTAGCTTGGCACCCTTTCATACATTAATTTTACTAAGGAAGTCCAGCCTCTTAGATACAGCGATTATATTCTCTTTGAGCATATTATTGTACAGAATTTAGTAAATAGACATATCAAATTAGGCTGTATGGGCTAAGACTTTTACTTGCTATAATTGATAAATCGTAAAGGTATATTATCAATGGTTATTATATTCTCTTTGGTTAACTCTGGTTATTATTTCTTTTCTGTCTAACATTTGATGAGATAGGTAAAGTTCACATAATTTTGCTTATTTCGTTTTATTATTTTTCGTTTAAATTTTATAGTAGACCAGAACATTTATATCTGATTAATTAACTTATAGACGTACGTTCTGTTTCAGTATTTTCTCTTGTCCAAAGCCACAATGGTTGCGGCGAAGAAACAAGTAAGTAAATTTAACACGTGTTTTCTTTTAGGACTTTTGGCATGGTAATTTACTTTTGTTGTAAATCAACCTCCTTCTCAATAGTCCAATATAAAATTCTGTGCTCGATAGGCTCGCCTTTTACTATAATATGCGGGGTTGAGGATGCACTGTACAAAGTTAGGTTATATTTCATTTACACGTTTAGGTAGACAATTTTCGTATTTTATTTAAAAGGGTGTAAGAACAATATAATTTGTATATTTTATATTATCAAATTCATATTTAATCTTGCCAGTAACGTTTTTAATCCGTTTTCAGAAAAAGACCATCGAGTCAATCAATTCAAGATTGGCATTGGTTATGAAATCTGGCAAATACTGCCTTGGATATAAGCAAACCTTAAAAACATTACGTCAAGGAAAAGCCAAGCTTGTCATCATTGCCAAAAATGCTCCTCCACTAAGGTGAGACTACTGAGAAGTAGAGTTTCCATTTTTATCAATTAGAGGGAAGCATATGGAGTCTTAGGGCAAAGAAGTATGGTTTTCCTTATGTTGACTCAAGTAAAAGCATAAAATTAAAAAAAAAAGTATTTTTTGTTAAAATAGTTTATTCTCTTTTGTTCAAACTTGCATAATGTCACAAAATTGCTTTTGCTGAGTTACAAATAAATGGGAACCCTATGGAGTAGTCCAAGCCCCATGTGCTGCTTATTTTTGCCAGGTAAGATTAAAATTTCTATGATAAGTTATTACTAAAATGTATGTAACCTCTCTTCATTAAAACAGCTGATAGAACTGTATAACTGATTGGTTTATTACTTCAGATATGAAAGTAACTGGAAAAAAATGCGTTTATTATCAGCGTCAATTTTTTTTAATTTATCTGTAAAAATTATTTATTTGTATCGCCGTTGACTTTGGTGATTCGGCTGTGTGTGTCTCTGTCGCGCACATCATGTGCGTCTCGTGCATGACAGAGACGGACATGGCTGAATATGGTAGTTCCCCAACTTCACAAATATTAGATGTTCCTCAAAAGCAAAGTAAATATAAATTTAAAAATTAATAACTCATTCAGATTTTCTTTCAGTCTCTCCCCCTCCCCCAATCGATTTCATAAAGTTCTCCCGGGTTGGTCCTTTCGAGATTTGGTAACCTTACATACGACCCTGGCCACCCACTTAATGTGGTAGTATGATACTAAACCTAAACCCAATGTCTTCAATGCAAGAGTTAGCTTAATCAGTGTACTTTACCATGGCTGCATCACCACTTACCATCAGGTGGAATAGTAGCCAAGCATTGGTATATAATAGTTAAAAAAATATTTCTTTACAGGAAATCTGAAATTGAGTATTACGCTCTTTTGGCAAAAACAGGAGTACACCACTACAGCGGAAACAATATTGAACTTGGTACAGCATGTGGTAAATACTATAGGGTATGCACATTGGCCATTACTGATCCTGGTGATTCAGATATTATAACTACATTGCCTGAAGCAACAGCTTAATGTATAAATAAAAATATTTAAAAATATTAAATGTTTTATTTGATGTCATTTTCGTATCTTGTATATTTATTAAGCACTCGCCCAGACAAAAACTCCACTACAGTACACTATGTAAATAAAAAGAGGCATTTCATCTTAGTACACACGGATGATAACGTATCTGAATTTTGATTTGCAAATATTTGCACAGCAACCAATTACCATCAGGTGGACTGTGTGCTCTCTAGTCATCCTTTTCCTATAAAAAAAAATCGAGGTCGTAGTAGACGTGCCAAACTACAAGCCTATTAATGCTAGTGATCTACAGTATTGGCGTGCTAATCACCTACGCTATTTCTTTTGCATATTAACTATATTAGGTCCTTACATATGAAATTAGCCGGATACCCACCTAGCGCACAGGCTCGCGCGGCAGCCTCGCGAGCCAATGCCTCTGCTGATGTGATGTGGCGTGTCTCGGGCGCACGTTGCCTCGCCGAGCGCCACTCGACCGCGAGCCTTACGTTGTCGGTAAACTTGACGCGTTCAAAGGTGCCTCAATGTTCGCTGTTCGTTTGGTGTGTACGGTGGTATTTTAGCTCGCGAGGCTAAAGTGTTTGTGAAGTCATTTTAATTGTATAATATCATGAGCAATCAGGATGAGTCGAATGTTTAATTCAACTGTACGGTATGTACTAGATGCTATGGGATCCAAAATACTGTTTTCGTTTTTTTAAATAATAAGCAACTAGGAAAGTAGCTCCAGATGCAATTACACAACTCTTTCGGTTGCTCGAAGAATTATGATGGCTTGACCTGCCTCGCGAGCCGCACACGAGCCTGTGCGCTAGGTGGGTACCCGGCTATTAGCGTTTTGTCCTAGTGACCACTTTGATCTGAAATATCTCCTCTTTGGTTAAGAATTCCAAATTCAAATTTATAAATTCATTTAGGTGGTACATTTGAGTTTTGAAAACAGTCATTCATTTGTTTTTTTCCTCATTATTTTTTTCTTTGGCGTCGCTTATTACCGCACAATGGAAAACATGAAATATCGGTATATTTACGAGTACGAGTTCTACCGTGGCACCAGTGCTGCAGAAACGGCTGTAATGATGTGTACGGCGCTGGTGTCGCAAACGAAAGCACAGTATGTACGTTTTTGGTTTCAACGTTTTCGTTCTGCAAATTTCGACCTTCAGAACCAACCCCTTGGACGGCCGGAGACCAAAGTGGAAAATGAAGAATTAAAGGCTATTGTGGAAGCGGATCTATCACAAAGCACTTCAGAGATAGCTGCAGGCTTCGGAGTAAGTGATAAAACTGTATTAATCCACTTGAAGCACATCGGGAAAGCAAAAAAACTTGAACGATGGGTACCTCATGAATTGAGTGAATCGAACTTGCAAACACGCGTCGACTGCTGTGTTACTTTGCTCAACCGACAAAGTAATGAAGGGATTTTAAATCGAATCATTACTTGTGATGAAATGTGGATACTGTACGATAATCGGAAGCGCTCGTCGCAATGACTGAACCCTGGAGACCCAGCCAAATCCTGCTCTAAACTAAAATTGACTCAAAAAGTTACTTGTAAGAGTACAATTTGCCACTATGTCTGGCGTATGTGGACTATGAGAAAGCCTTTGATTCCGTCGAAATTTGGGCGGTGCTGCAGTCCCTTCAGCGGTGCCAAGTTGACTGTCGGTATATCGAAGTGTTGAAGTGCTTGTACAGTAGGGCTACGATGGCTATCCGAGTACAGAACCAGAGTACGAAACCTATCCAATTGCAGAGAGGTGTAAGACAGGGTGACGTCATATCCCCGAAACTCTTCACCGCTGCATTGGAAGACGTTTTCAAGCTTCTGGACTGGAAAGGATACGGTATCAACATCAATGGCGAGTACATCACTCACCTGCGATTTGCCGACGATATAGTCCTTATGGCAGAATCGCTGGAGGACCTTAGCACTATGCTCAATGACCTCAATAGTGTTTCCCAACGGATAGGTCTTAAGATGAACATGGACAAAACTAAGATCATGTTTAATGTCCATGTCGCACCTATGCCGGTAGTTGTTGGGAACACTAAGCTCGAAGTTGTTGACGAGTATGTTTACCTGGGACAAATAGTCAGACTAGGTAAGTCCAACTTCGACCGAGAGGTCAATCGACGGATTCAACTCGGTTGGGCAGTGTTCGGGAAATTACGGCACATCTTCTCGTCAGGTATACCTCAAACCTTGAAAACGAGACTGTACACCCAGTGCGTGTTGCCAGTGATGACATACGGAACTGAGACGTGGTCCTTCACTGCTGGCCGGATGAGGAAGCTCAAGGTCTCAGCGAGCTATGGAGAGGGCTATGCTCGGAGTTTCTCTGCGTGATAAACTTAGGAATGAGGATATCCGCAGTAGAACCAGAGTAACCGACATAGCCCAACGGATTAGTAAGCTGAAGTGGCAATGGGCCGGCCATATAGCTCGAAGAACCGACAACCGATGGGGAAGAAAGGTTCTCGAGT